TGGGATTTGAACTAGGGCTGAGGATGCTTCTCCTGACTCAACGGCTGCTCTTTGGAAGGCTGTGGAGGAGACTCAGACACCACCTGAGTTCCCAACACACACACACACACACACACACACACACACACACACAGGCACAGGCACACGTGCACAAACACACAGGTGCACACACACATGCATGGAGGCACATGTGTAAACACATGCACAAACGCACATGCGCACACAATGCACACACACACACACACACACACACACACACACTTGCACACACAGTGTCCTAGCAGCCTTTGGAGAACTTGGTCCCAGTGAGAAGGAGGAACTTTCCTCGGGCCATTACCCAGGAAGTGGCTGAGCCAAGACCAACACTGAGCTCCTCCCACCCACCACCTCCCCCCAGACCCTCACTTAGTCCTCAGCTGGCCTGACTTCCCCTTGGGGGACCAATCCTCAGAGGCTCCTCAATCAGGATGGGAGGTGGCGGGTGGGGGCTGCTCCTCCCCTGAGGCAGGGATGGGAGCAGCTCTGGCTCTTTCCATCCTTCTGGGAGGTGAGAGTCCCCTCTGGGTGACCTCCACCAGGTACTCCATCAGTGCATTACAGCCTAAGGTCCCCTGGGGACAGGGGCCTGATCTGACCTGAGGACACAGGGGTGGGGATCCTCACCTGAGACCACCAGCTCCAGGGGGTCACTGGGCTGTGAGAGCAGGTAGGGGGAGGTGCTGTGTGAGCCATAGCACCTGTAGGTCCCCTGGTGGCCTGAGCTCACAGGAATGAGGGTGAAGGTGGCCTGAGAGGGTTCAGACGTGTCCTGAAGACGAAGGTGCTGGGGAGGGTTCAGTGACCCCTCCCTGTGCAGGTAGAAGGTGTCCAACCAGATCTCAGACCCACACTGCAGGGTCACGTTAACTCCCCAGGGCACTGAGGGTCCCGGCTGGGCTGAGAGGGAGGGTTTCCTGTACATTCCTGGGGAGAGGAAGGTTGTGATGTATAGAGAGCCACCCCTCCCCTCACGCCCCTGACCCTGAGCTGAGGGACCTTGTCCTTCTCCAGAGACTCTGTCTGTGACCCCCTCCCAGCTCCTCTAAGTCCCCCAGGGTGATGTCATTTATCTCCATGGCCTCACCCCCTTTACCCTCCCTCCCCTAGGCCTCTGCCCAGCTCAGCCTCTGCTCCAGGCCCCTCTCCTAGACCACATCACCCCCAGGTGACCCGGGGCCCAGAGCCCTGAGCAGACCCTCAGGACAGGGGCAGGGCTGGCTCCTCACCTGCCACCAGGATGTCCAGGGGGGCGCTGGGGGCTGACCACACAGAGGAGAGGTGGTGTCCACTGTAGCATCTGTACCGGCCCCCGTGGGTGTGGTTCACGGGGCCCAGGGGGAAGTGGGGGCTGTTCTGCCCATTGAGGCGCCGGGGGTGTGTGAGGCCCTCGTCCTTGGTCAGAGCGAATGTGTCAAAGCCGGCCTCCGCGTGGCACTGGAGGGTCAGGCTGTGTCCAGGCAGCACCAGTGAGCCGGGCTGGGCCGAGAGGGCGGGCTCTCTGTGCACACCTGAGAGGAGGGGACAGTGTCAGCCAGGGGACACCCCCATCGCCCACTGGGCTGCAGTGAGAGGCCTCACATGTCCCTCCCTGAGCCTACAGCCTCTGGTCCTGTTGTCAGGAGGCCAGTGTCACTGCCCCCTTGAGCCCAGGGCCCCAGTGGACACACAGCACCGTCATTTTGGGCCCAGGAAACAGATGGGGATGCACCCGGACCTGTCCCTCACCTGTGACGTCGATGTGCAGAGGGGCACTGGGCTGTGACCACACGTTGGGGAAGGAGCTGGAAGAACCAAAGCATCTGTATGTCCCCCCATGGGAGGGGCTCACTGGGCCCAGAGGGAAGATGGCCTGCCACCTCCCAGCATAGGCCCTGGGTTCTGCTTCCATGTGTCGGGGCGGGTCAGCCCCTCCCTCCTTCAGCAGATGGAAAGGGCCCGATGTGGACCGTGAGCTACAGGAGAGGGATAGGATCCCCCCTGAGGCCACCACAAGGCTTGGCTGGGCTGAGAGGGAGGGTGCACCGTACACTCCTGAGGGAAGAGAAAGGGTCTGTGTTAAAGGGAGCGTCACCCTCACACCCCAGGTGTGTTCTGTGAGGGGTGAGGTCCCCTGAGGCCACACTTTATTCCCTCTGCTTGTGACCTGGAGCCCACAGTGGGGAGGGGACCCAGTGTCTCCCTTACCTGTCACCACCAGGAGCAGGGGGTCACTCCAATGTGACAATATGTCCCCAGTTGTGTAATATGCACACTGGTACAGCCCTGCATTGGATTGGGTCATAGCTCCAATGAGGAAACCGGCCTTGTTGCTGGAGTCCTGTGGGATCCTGGTTTCCCAGGGCTCAGAGCCCCTGTCATTATACAGAACGTAGACACTAGCCTGCAGAGACCCCTGACACCAGATGGTCACAGGGCTCCCCTTGGTGACGATTGCATCTGGGTCAGCCCAGATGGAGGGTTTGGGGACGTCCCCTGGAAAGGAATCAGGTATGAAAGGTCCTGGGGAGCCCTCATCCCCTCATGATGTCATGAATGAGCTAAGGATGCCATTTAATGAGCACCTACTGTGTGCGAGGCACATGCTGGTGTCTGTCATTCATCCCCTCTCACCTCACAGCAGTCATGCACCAGGGATTGCTGACGCCACCACCCGCTTCACTGAGGCTCAGAAAGGTTAATCGCATGCAGCCAGCCTGCACCGGGCAGGGCTGGTACGGGAACATGGGACTGTGGGTTCCCTGTGCTGTCCTCACGCTGCCCCCCAGGGGGACTCCAGCTTCATGCTCTGGGGTCCTCCTCTGCAGGGGTCTGTCCACGTCTCATCTGGAGCTGAAGGTCCTTCTTCATTACCCACCCCCAGCACAGCAGGGACAGGAGGGGCAGGGTGAGGAATAGACTCAGTCTTCCGGGCTCCTTCTCTACCCTGCAGGTCCCTGATGCCCCCTTGGGATGGTCAGGCTGGGGGCTCTGCCTTCCTGAGCTCTGTGAGGCCCTCATGTCACCTCATCTCCCAGCAGCCTGTGAGCAGGATGGGACCAGGGATGAGCAGACAGGAACCCGACACTCAGAGGAGAGAAGGGACCGCCCAGCCCCACAGCAGGAGCAGCAGAGCCAGGAGCTGAACCAGGGCTGATCCATCCTGTTCCCTCCTATGAGCTGAGCCTGATCTGAGAGGTAGCAGTGGGTGCCCGGACCCTTTTCCTGCCTGTCCGTCCCTGTAGTGTCACCATCACTGAGAAAGAGAGGACAGGCCCCATATCATCAGGTTCAGGGGGCTTCCCTGTGAGGCCCCTCTCCCAGGAGGTCAGGGCCAGAACCGACAGCAAATCTAAGCTGTGGACAAGGATTCTCTCATTTTACACTTAGAGACACTGAGGCCCAGGGAGTGGAAGGGTATGTCCAAGTGAGAGACTTCAGAGTGGCCTGAACTCCCACATGGCTCAGCTTGTGTCCCCACAGAGACCCCCACTTGCCCTTTTGTTGGCCTGACTCCCTGGGTGAGGGAGACCAATCCTCAGAGGCCCTGGGGCCTGTGGTTAACTGAAATCTGTCTCAGTTCCTAGCAGCCTTAGGACACAGCCTGCCCTTAGCGCATGGGCAGCATTCGATCCTCAGACTCAGAACTGCCCAGGGGAGTGTCTCCCTCTTAGCAAAGAGCACCCTCTGGGTGGGGTCCTGGGGCCCCTGGGTCCTGAGAAAGACAGCAAGAGTGGAAGAGTCTGGGGCTGACTTTGGAGCATCCCCCCTCCCCCTGCACACAGAGCCCTCACTAAGTCCCTCCTACTGCCCACCTGGCACCTTCTGGACCAGGTAAAAGGAGGGATGGAGTGGAGTTAGGGGGTGCCTGAGGGGCAGATCTCCTCTGGGTGACCATCCCTACAGCCCCTCCCTCCCTTTCAGAGGATGTTTGTTCTCGGGACGGGACCCTGAAATGACAGCTCAGCAGACAGGTCAGGGACCCTCACCTGAGACCAGGAGCTCCAGGGGCTCACTGGGGAGTGACAGCAGGAAGGGGGAGGAGCTGTGTGAGCTGTAGCACCTGTAGGTGCCCCCGTGGGCTGAGGTCACAGGATTCATGGAGAACTCCGCCCGGTACGGCCAACCATGGTGTTCTGATCTCAGATGCAGGGGGGGATCGGCTGCCCCCTTCTTGGACAGAAGGAACATGTCCCTCGGGCTCCGTGACTGACACAGCAGGGTTACGTTCTCCCCTGAGGCCACCCTGGGGCTTGGCTGCACCGAGAGGGAGGGCCTGTCAGGCAGCCATCCTAGAGAGAGGGAGGGAGGGTGAGGGCTGCCCACCCACCTTGTTCTGCCCTGATAGTCACCAGACCTCTCTCTGAGGACCCTCCTCTCTGTCTGTCTCTGTTTCTCTGAGTCTCCCCCTCTCCCCTCCCACCCCCTGTCTCTCACTGTCTCTCCCTCCCTGGGGCCTGCACTGTCATTCTGGCCTCACCCACTTAGCCCCCAGCAGGGCCTGTGCAGAGTCTGGGTCCCTGACTGAACCCACTGGCTCCTCACCTGCCACCAGGATGTCCAGGGGGTCACTGGGGGCCGACCACTCAGAGGAGAGGTTGTATCCACCGTAGCATCTGTACCGGCCCCCGTGGGAGCTGCTCACAGTGCCCAGGGGGAAGTGGGCCTGAGAGAGCCCAGCCTGGGGCTGCAGGACAAGGCTCTGGGGGAGGCCCCGTCCCCCCTCCTTGTGCAGAGCGAATCTGTCATAGCCGACATCAGAGCGACACTGGAGGGTCAGGCTCTGTCTATAGGCCACGATAGGGCCCTGCTGGCTCAGGAGGGAGGGCTTCACAGACTCACCTGGGGAGACCAGACATGAATTACAGGGGCTGCTCCTCCCATTAACTCCTTCTCCTGGCCTGGCCCCCAGGTCTCACTGTCTCTCTGTGTGTCTCTGGCCCAGTACCCCTTGCCCCACCCTCTCACATGGGGCTCTCCTCCCAACAAAGATGCCAATAATGTATCTGGTGCCAATAATTACCTCAATCCATGGATGGGACAATAATGGGACTCACCTGGGACCAGGAGCTCCAGGGGGTCACTGGGGTATGACCACACCTGGGAGCTGTTCCTGTAACAGCCATAGCATCTGAATGTCCACCTGTGGCTGAGGGTCACAGGGCCCACAGGGAACAGGGCCTGGGACGGCCCACTGGACTGTGGCTGTGAGTCCAGAGTCCAGGAGAGCCTGTGATCTCCTTCCTTAGTCAGAATGAACCTGTCAAATTCCTCCCATGAGCCACACTGGAGGGTTACATTCCCCCCTGAGGTCACGACAGGGCTGGGCAGGGCTGAGAGGCTGGGTTTGCTGTAAAATCCTAGGAGAGGAGAAAGCTGTGTGTTAAATGGGGCTTACACCTCCCTTATGTACCCCAGGGCTGGGCTGTGAGAGGGAGACACCCTGTGGAGGGCCTGAAGCTGGGACCCCTTAGTGTCCTCTCACCTGTCACCACCAGCTCCAGGATGTCGCTGGGCTCTGACAAGTTAGTGGGGCTGTGATAGTGACAGCGATACCTCCCTACATCACCATCTGTCATGTAAGTGATGGAGAACTTGGCCTTTTCCCCAGGCTCCCATTGCTTCTGTATTTTCCATGGTGCTTGGCTTCCCTCTTTCTCCAGATGGTACTCCTCAGCCCCTGGGGTTCCCTGACACCAGATGGTCACAGGGCTCCCCCAGGGCATCACAGGGCCGGGCTCAGCCCAGAGGGTGGGCTTTGGGAGGAGCCCTGGAAGGAATCAGAGGCTGGGTCACAGGACATTCCCACCCCTGGTCCCAGCTCTCAGTCCCAGATGCCCCCCCCCAATCTGTCAGACAGATCCTTCCTCCTGCTGCCTAGAGGGTGTTCCGTGTCCCCAGTGAGCAGTAGGACCTGGGACACCTGGGGAGACTCACCTGCCTGCACTGGGGTCCTGAGGCCCACACTCAGCCCTGGAAGAGAGTCCCTGTGAGAGATTTGCCCTGAACCCTGAGCAACACCCTCCTCCCCATGAGCCTCCTGAGTCCTGGGTCCTGACAGAGCAGGATCCCCTCCCCGCTCCCATCTCACCGAGGCAGAGCAGGGCCCTGAGGGTGGGGGTCATGGTGACTTCTCCCGGAGGCCTCAGCTGAACAGATGGAGGCCAGGGGCCTGCAGGATGGTCAGATAGATACACGGGTGGTGGTCACTTGGAGAACCGTCCTTCCTTTCACGGGTTTGTTCCGTCAGCAGCCTGCAGGCTAGGACACAGCCTCTCTAGCAGCCTGGCTCTTGATTTCATGGTGAAGCAGGAAATGGACCCAGAGCCTCCTGAGATGCCCCTTGCAGGTGAGGTGACCCAGGGCAAGTCCTTCCCTGTCAGAGCCTCCCCCACGGGGTCTCCTTCCTCCTCAGCCCGTCCATCAGCACCTCCCTGTGGTCCTCACCATGGACAGTGCCACCCGGGCCCTGGAGACACTTCAGGAAGACGTGGGTCCCTGTGGCCTGCAGAGCTCAGATCAGCAGGGACACGCTCACCCTCTCCCTGTGCAGCTCAGGGCGATGTCCCTGTGACAATGAGCACAGAGGCAAATGCAGGGAAATAAGGGAAGGAAACAGGAGCCTTCTGTGGCCCCAGAATCTGGGTTTTCTTTGTATCACATGTCTGTTCATGAACTTCCCTTTTTCTTAGCCACAGCCTCCAGCCCCTCCTTCCTGGGAACACACCTCAGGGTCACTTTGCCCTTTCTGGGCCCCTGGTTCCTGGGGCAGCGCTGTCCCCCTGGGACCATGGCTTGTCCTGGAGACAGTAAGAAGACGTGATTTGGTATAGAGCAGTGGTCGGCAAACTGTGGCTCGCGAGCCACATGCGGCTTTTTGGCCCTTTGAGTGTGGCTCTTCCACAAAATACCACGTGCAGGCGTGCACGTACAGTGTGATTGAAACTTCGTGGCCCGTGTGCAGAAGTCTGTATTTTGTGGAAGAGCCACACTTAAGAGGCCAAAGAGCCGCATGTGGCTCGTGAGCTGCAGTTTGCCCACCACTGCTCTAGAGCTTTGGTTATTAAAGAAAATTTCCTTTTTAAAATACCTGTGTCCTACCTGCTTCCTGTTTGAACTGAGCAGTAATGTCTTGATCAGGTGTTTTCTTCCATTTATTTTTTTTACAAGAGAACATTCACTATTATTTACTTACTCTTCAATGACTTTAACTCCTGAGGGTTACAGCAATACACGGATTCTGTGCCCAATAGTCTTAGCAGGAGGGTTGCTCTGGAATTTGGCACAAACCATCCACTATCTCCATCAGCACTCGTTTCCTCTCTCCAGGTGACTGGATTTGTGCCCTTTGCCACCAGGAGTCACTGTGTTGCTCTGCTTTGTACACGGAGCACATCTCTTGCCCAGACAGTGTTCAGTTCCATCTCACAGACACACCTTCAGGTGTAAAGACAGCTGTGAGCTCCCTCTGGTCCCCAGACCCTGCCTGAAACCGACAGAGCTGGTCCGAACCACAGCTTTCACACATATTTGTCCTCATAGCAGTCCTACTTCCTGTGGGCCCCATGGCCAGCGGCACGAATGCCACTCACACTTTTCTTCTTCCCTTTTTCCCCCCAAGAAGTTTAAAAAAAATATATATCTTTATTGATTTCAGAGAGGAAGGTAGAGGGAGAAACATTAATGCATTAATGATGAGAGAGAATCACTGATTGTCTGCCTCCTGCACACCCCACACTGGGGATCAAGCCCGCAACCCAGGCACCTGCTCTGATTGCAAATTGAACCATGACCTCCTGGTTCATAGGTCGACACTCAACCTCTGAGCCATCGTGGCCAGGCTCTTCTTACAGTTTCAAAAGTTTTCTGCATTTAATTATAGGTTGAAACCCTAAGTGTGCATTTTGACTGGAAACATCCATCTCAGATGTTCGTCTCGCCTCTCTAAATGCATTTGCTCTGCCACAGTGTCTATGACACCAGTGTCCAATGTCCCGGGAATGTTCGGATGACCTCGCTGCATACTGGGTGGGCTTGGAGTTAATGGTTTGCAATGATTTCACTTTTCAGATGACATTTTGACTGGTTCCACATGCTTCAGATTTTCTATTGATTCCAGAGGCCGTCTTGGAAAATAAATCCTCACATCGCACCAGGGCAGAGCGTGGCCCTGAGGGTGGGGGTCGTGGTGTCTCTTGTCTCGTTCTGGCTGTTGATGGAGGAGACCAAGGTGCCACAGGATGGAGAGATACAGGGTCTGGCACCGAGAGGCTGGCCCTTCCTGTGTGAGGGTTGTCACCTCAGCAGCCCCACAGGAACGGCAACAGTGTCTCCCAGATGTTCAGCTCTCATTCCCATGATGGATCAGGAAATAGACCCGGGGCCTCCTGAGATGCCTTTGCAGGTAGGTGACCCTGTCAGAGCCTCCCCCACTGGGTGTCCTTCCTCCTCAGCCCGTCCATCAGCACCTTCCTGGGGTCCTCTCCATGGACAGTGCCACCCGGACCCTGGAGACGCTTCAGGAAGATGTGGGTCCCTGTGGCCTGCAGAGGTCAGAATAGCGGGGACAGGCTCACCCTCTCACTGTGCAGCTCAGCGCGATGTCCCCTGTGACAATGAGCACAGAGGGAAATGCAGGGAAATAAGGGGAAGAAACACGTCTCCCCCTCTGGCTCCAGAGTGTGTTTCTCTTCCTATCCCCGCCCCTGGTCAACTCCCCTTTCTTGCAACAGCATCCACCCCAGCGGCCTGGGAACTTGCCTTTGAGTCACTACTCCCCTCAGTGCCTTGTTCCTCATGAAGATCTCTCCTCCTCATCCTGGGCCCCTGTCTTCCCAGTCAGTGACAATAAGTGTGTTATTGCTCCGATTTGGGGAATAAATTGAATTATTATTTATTTTTGTTTTCAATGTATATTTTTATTGATTATAGAGAGGAAGGTAAAGGCAGAGATATAAACATCCATGAAGACATAGAACAACTGACCGGCTGCTTCCTGCCTGCCGCACATGGGGGATTGAGCCCGGTGCCCTCACAGAGAATCAAACCTCGACCTCCTGGTTCATAGAATGATGCGCAATCCCTGAGTCATGCCGGCTGGGCTGATTCTTATTTCAATAGTCCTCCTTTGTTCATTAGGTATTTGACCTTCACACTCAACGTCCAATCTGTTGAATCTCAGTTTCCTCTCATGCAGCACGTCGTCAAGAACCCAACTCCTTAGAGTGGTTGGCGGGATCATGGAGGATCTGGAGGGAGCCATCCTGGTTTATTTCCACACCTGACTAAGCCCTGTGAGGTGAGCCCTGAGCGGTGTTGTTCAGATCTCCACAGGAATTGGATGGTTGCTATACACACACGTACAAATCCCCATCTTCTCCTGATACTGAGAAGGCTATGCACACTGTTCCTGAAACATGTGGCCATCCTCAGTGCCCAAAAAGGGAAGTGGAAGTTCCCGGATGGAGAGGGAAGCAGAAGAGACAATGGGGGCCAACCTTGAGTGGCTACTGTGCCTGCGTACAGCCAGAAGTCATCAGCGTGGAGTTCCCACCTGTGTGTGGACAAGAGAGGGACCCAGGGTGGCCACACACAGGGAGGAGATCTGGACTCAGGGTGAAAGTTGGGGCAGGGTTGCTCCCTCCACATGCTTTGGATATGGGCACTGTGGTCTCTCTGCCCATGGACCCAGCCCATGGTCAGCACTGAGCCACATGCCCTGTGTTTGTGATTGAAATGGATTCAATCCATTCTAGCCGGGCGTGGGCGTCTGTCCAGGTGTGAGTGTGAGGGATGCTAACTTAGGGAGAGAGGGTGCCACAGGGCAGGGCAGATCCCACTACCCACCTCTTTGCAGGACAGCCCTGAGAGGGACTCTCTGTGGAGAAGCAGGTGTGTGGGAGGGGACTGTCCAATAGGAATGGACAGGAAAGGGAAATCCCCGGGTGTGAGAGGAGGCAAGGGTTTGCCTTTCATGATCCTGCCCCTTTCTCTCCACTCCACCTCTGCCTGACTGTCCTTCCTTCCCCTCCCCTGCAGGATGGGGGCACCATGGCTGTGCCTGCCTAGCTCTCCCTGACACAGTCATCAAGTGGGACCCCTTCATGTGGAAAATGCTGCAGACAGGGCAGTGCGGGCCATCCCTGAGGGTAGTGGCTGCTGATGCTGCTGCTTTCCTGAACATATCAGGCCCCCAGATCTGACACTGGGAAAGGTTTGGACTTTAGCTGACCCAGAAGGCAGGTGACTGGATTTGTGCCCTTTGCCACCTGAGCAAAGGGGACTTATTCATTGGTCTGTGCCTTTTGCATGTACCCAGAATGCATTGCAGGTGTCACTGAGGAGCTTGAACCTTGCTTTCCTGAGCCAAGATTTCAGGACACACAAAGTCCCTTGCTGGACAGTGGAACCTCTGCATCAAGGCTCCCGTGGGCTGTAAAATCTGAAGACAAGGCCAAACATGGTGCCATTTTTGATCATTTTTAAGCCCCGTATGTGGATTTCTGTCTGTGATAAAGGGAAACCAGTGTTGCTCACCTCTAAGCTGCCTGTGGCTGCCCTTGGGAGCGTTTGGGAGCTGAGTGGTGTTGGCCCTGGTGCAATGCTCACGGAGATGAGTCTGTAGGTGGCATGTGCTTGGTAAAGGGCACATTGGAGGAAGCACCCGTGCCCATGTCCTGGTCTCCAGCCTTGTGCCACCTGCTAAGAGGAAAACGTGGGTTGGATCCCCTGCAGAAAAGCTGAAGAGGATGGCATCTTCCTGGAAACTGACGAGGACATGGATGAGTTTGTGTCTGGATGGGAAGTTTGTGAGATCTTCCTGGAGACAGGGTTAGCTTCTACCTGACTAGCCTACCTTTGGGTGCTGTGTGACCCTGTGGGAAGCACTCAAAGGATATGTTTGCCTTGGCTTTTCACTCAGTCAATCAGAAGTTAATAAAGGGCATTGATCCTCTTCAAAATTTTACTCCTGAGATGCTTCCACCACCAGACAGGGCCCATTTACCAGAGAGCATCATAGGATCCAGATTTTTCTGTTATTAAGGAGCTAGATGCCCTTTAAAATGACACCATTGACCTAAAGAGG